CTACTCTTTGCCATTGTCTGTGGTAGGTATCTTACAGTATGTTTTTCTTACTATATCAACTATTGCACATACATGTGATCAACTAAGGGAATGACTAAAACCCTGGAGACCTTTAGTAAAATAATGGTGGTTACTTCATCTGAGCACTGGCAAGTCAGACCAGCCGAGTTAGTTTTATATTGAAACTTACAACCTAGAACTTCACGATAACGTAGTCCTCAAAAGTAATAACACTTCTCTCTTTGTTACAATAGCTTTTCATTGTAGCATGTGCTTAGAAGCATTTAGGAATAAGCCCTCGGCAATTGTCTTCATCAAGATATACGGCTACAGGATTTTCTGTAAGCTTCATACACGCTATAAATTTGTTAGATTGAGAAGGAGCTAGAAGCTCTTGTTTTCTTTCACGAGTAGAAAAGATTGAAAAATCAACCATTCGATTTAGCTTGGTTTGCCTCCCTTCATGAATATCCTGCAAATAGCAAATTACTCAGATAATTTAAACTTGCAAAGTTGCTTTTTCTCAGGTTTATTTAGCGCTCCCTAGACTCATGAAACATGATTGAAGATCATTTCTGCCATTTTACCTCTATATTGTGTTCTACGAATTCAACGCTGAACCTTGATAGATCATGTGTTTGAAATAGGATATGCTTATACGTCGGCCAATTAGCGACCAAGAGGATCACTATTAGGAAAAGAGGAAACATCATGCCAATCAAGCACAAGCAATAGTAAAAATTGCTAATAAACTAGATTAGAGCGTTAATTGTTGTGTGTTTTGAGGATAGGAAGCTTTTTTTGCAATTTGTAATTTTATAATGTTAAGCAGAGGTACTGTAGACATCAGACAGCAAAAAAGATTTACGCAATCTCAGATACAGTAAAGTAGGGAACATTGGCGAGGCAATTGAGAGCTTAATATTAACTCTGTCTTGTCTAATAAAGCAAAAACAATGGGAATCATGGAAAAAGCTTTTACATCTGCAACGCTAAGTTGCGATAGAGGACCCAAGAAGTTTTGGAGATCAACTCCTCAAGTTGACGAAGTCTAAATCGAAACATTTCGTTACATATTTACAGCCATAAGATAGAAAATTTTTAATACTATT